TACATTATAGTACTTACCTCCCTGCAGAGGGGCTGGGCAAGCCGGATGGAGATTGGACAGGTAAAGACAAGCCTGAGTCTGCTCTTTATGCTTATCTCCTCGCGCCTTGCAGCACTCTTCAAAAGGGATCTCACGGCATCCCATTGTGTCTCAACATCCTAGTTGAGAATCACTGTTTTAGAGGGGTTTTGTTGTGAGAAATGCCTTCAAGCAAACCTCCCCTCTGCCTCCCGATACTTAATTTTGTTTTATTTGCTTTCTTCCCCTTACAATCATTTGGTTCTCTAATTTTATAGTAACACAATCCAAGTATGAGGACATGAAAAAAAATGAAGCTGAGGCACTCCAATATCTTAGTTCAGCGTCTTCACTGGAGAAGGGAATGACTCATAGCAGGGTTGGTTTTCAGTTCCTTTAAGTTCTATGGAAACTATTAACTCTGTGGAAACTATTACTGTTCAAAAAAATTAATGAAATCAGTGCTTCTCACCTGAATATACGAGTACCTGAAGCACTAACCACACAAAATGGACTTGACATCCTTTAATTTGCAATAGAAATCCTGCCTTAGCTTTGGAGCATGGGTTACGTTGTGTGTAGTTACATTTGTAGGTTGGGGATATAGTGTTTTTGTGGGGGTATTATTTGGAAACTGCTCTTTCCCCAAACACGCAAAGTTAGAACGTTGTGTGCATCACACTTTTTAGATGGTCATTAAGCCTCTGTACAATAAATCATTCTGAGGGTTTTTTTTCCTTCTACTAAAGAGGGCACAAAAGCAGTTGTTGCATTGAGTTCTTCATCAATAAAGCAGAGGTAACAGTACCACTTACAAGCAGTTTCCTTCTCCCTTTCTGGCCTCATTCTATCAATAATTCTAATAGGGTTGACTACTAGCAGCTACTAACGTTGAGTATCGCAAACCTCATTGGTTTCTGGAATGGATTTCTATATTTGTTTTGTCTAGGTATTGGCTAGGAGTCTTCAAATGCTGAATGATCCAATATTGGATATGCTGTATTATACAATTGGTTAAGTCAGACTTTAAGTATAGACTTGTATCTGTCAGAATTGAAGGGACTTTCAGTAGGTCGGTTTGGCTGACTTCTACATAAATGAGAGACTGATTTAATTACTCTGAAGCCATCTTTAAGCATCTGCCTATGCACTACGTGGCTCTATTTAGTTTTTCTCATTTTGGTTATTATATTCAGAAATGTGACTGCAGTGCTTACAGACAGATATGAGCCAGTTTTAAACTCTCTAACTTGACAGCGATACCAACAGAGTCATGACAAAACAAGGCTCATTGTGAGCTACTTATCTGAGTGCTTACCCATCTTTTTGGGTGACTTTTGCAGTCAGCATTGTGGACTTTTTTTTTTTTTATTATTAAAAGGAAAAAATTGGAGTAATAGTATAAATAACCAGTCTACCAGTTTGTGGGCTTCTGCCTTAAATTATATGTAGCATTTTCCAAACAGCCAAGCCAAAAAAAAAATAGTTGTAGAGTTGGACCAGAATCTTCCAAGTTTGGAAAACCAGATTCCTTCATTAACATTTAAATAAGTGACTTTTTTTTGAGAATTATCTTCACAGCCTACATTAAAAAAGACATGACAAATATCAACAAAAAACAAAAAGTTGGGTAAGAGGCAAGTTTTTGACAAGATTGTGCCATTGCTTAAGTGAGGGCTGTCAAACTTCTAACCCTCTGGGTGCTGTATGACACACTGGTCCCACCTGGCATGGTGTGCAGATACTCTCCTCCTCCCACCATCACTGGGCCACATGGGTGATGAACTTGATACCTCCACTCCACCCGGACATAGCCCCAGACTCACGTTCAGCTTGCCACACTGTTGGACTGACCTGGCTTAGGTAGTTGTGTATGCATCTTTAAGTCTTAATTGATACTGATCACTCAATATTTGTAGCCAAGGGAAAAGATTAAGTCTCTGTAAGTAGCTGGGAGGACCAGAGCGGATAACACTTTTCTGGAATACTCATTTTTGTTCTCTCTGATGTATCTTTAGGTAAAAGGCCATAAACGCAAACATTGCAGAATGCAAATAGGCATTGCTCAAGTGCTAGTCTAAAATAAAATCCATGAAGCAGAAAAACAAATACAGCATGTGGATAGAATGCAAAAGACATACCTTTAGCAAAATTTAGTGGCTGCCTTTGTGAGATGAACTAGAAGTTTTTGTGTAAACTTCATGTTTCTTGCTATGGCATTTCAATGGGTGTGCTTCCTGGATTCTGCAGAATAGTGCCTCAAAACATCTGGTTTTCTTTCTTTAATTCCTCCTAATCCTCTCTTTGATTAAATACATCATACTGTAGTTGTAACACGTCAGGGAAGTGCAGCAAAAATTAAATGTACTTCATGTGCTTGCTGTTTAGACTTTTAAATATCTGCTTTTTCCAGTAAACTTGCTGGTGAAGTAAACTTGTGTTTGTAAAATTGGCAAATTCACAGATAAAACCAATACTTACAGCACTTTTACACAAAAGTAAGATAAAATCAATTGAAAATAACTGAGCTATTAGGATAAGTAACATGGTAAATTTTTGCTAGTGGTTTTTTTTTGGTGGGGGGGGGGGATTGCTTTGAGATGGATAAAAAAAGACTTCAGATTTCTAACAATTGAAATGAGGGATCAGCATCTGGAGACCAGAATTTTTAGGAGCTAGCATTCAGATTGCCAGGGGCCCAGTGCCACTTCCTCCTCCATGACAGTGCAGTGCAAAGTTTAGTGATAATGGGGTGTTGTACATGACAGTGCAAGAACAGTAACTGTGTCTTAGAGGAACAATTGAACCTGGAGCAGTAGCAGCAGAATAGAAATTAACTCTGGTAAATCAGCAAATAGTCAATGTTAACTTGGGTAACATCAGTTAGTATCCATCTCAGTGGAGAGAAATTAAAAATGAACCTGAGCTTTTATTGTTGTCTTTGAAAAAACAGGAAAATTAAAGTGTTTTTAGTAAATGCAGCTAATTTCCACCAGCTTTAATTTTTAAATAAATTCCCACCTTTAATTTTAAAATAAAATATTTCAGTGGAGTTCAAATAAGCTACAAACAATTGATATATTATGATTGTAAATATATGTCTTATTTAAGGTGATCCTGATTGTTCCAAGTCAAAACCCGAAACAAACTGAACAAGAGAGGAGCACAACCCTACACCCCCTTCTTTGCCCCCTACAGGCTTACCCCTGGAATGAGCCACAGGACAATAGGTGTAAACATCTGTAGGATCCAAGAACCAAAGGTTTTTCTCCCTAGAGACATGTTCCTTTCTGATATATCTTTACTTTGTGCATGTATTATTGTAACAAATAGCTGTGTATCCACATGTGCACAACAATTTGACTAGCTAAAAGGTGAACAGAACTCACTGCAATAATATTGATCTGTTGGCCAGATTAGTGAGGTCTCCATTAAAATAAAATTAAAATAATTAAAATAAAAACTGTAGGTGACGTCTTGAGCAAATATTATTATTTGTGATATTAAGATGTTAAAAGGAAAAGATATTTAAAATGCCACTTAATTTGTTTCATTTATATAGTTTTATGAATCTGTGCAGGCTAATTGGATACTTTTCGAAAAGGGTAATCGCACAAAAAGTGGAAACAAAACCCAAATATTGTTCATGGTTGACATTGTTTCATAGAAGTTGTAGCCTAAAGTGTCTATTTCTTGGATTGTGATATAGTTCCTCATTCAAGGGTAAATCCATCTTGGAATGTATAGTAAATGATCCATGCTCATTTATGCCAGGGTCAAATTTGGAGCTTCTTGATTAGAAATTGTTAGATTCCTGTTTCTTCAGTTTGCAACATGTCATTTAAAAATGTAATTAATTGGGGGAGATTAAAGGTTTGAAGAAGCATTAACGTACAGTCTAGTTCACTGCTGTGTATTCTCTACCCCTACTATATAGTCCTCAACCAGGAAGCATGTAGGAAAACGTTACCATTTCTTGGTTCTCAGTTTTGCTGTGCCAGTCAGTCCAGTGTCTTTACAACTTGAATGCTCTTGTTGCATTCCATTTACCATTGTTTTGATACAATTCTGCAGCAAGCAGTCTTTTTCTCATGATAATGTCTTAGCAATGGTACCCACTCTCAGCAGTCTTGAGCTGAAGGTGACAGTGATTCATTTTGTAGTGTGCAGGTTGTACAGAACAAGTTTAACAAGCCAGTGAATTTAAAAACAGTCACATTTATCTGTCAGGATTAACATTCCAAATAGTGTTAAAGTAGGCTGTTAAAAAGGAGTCAAGTACTCTGATAGAAATTTAGTGGGTTTTGTCCTCCCCTGTTTTTAAGAATGGAGTGCTATCTTGCTGTTATTCCTGTTAAGAGCATATAGTTCTTTGTTGCATGGTTGGAAATACTGATTGCAGTCTTGGTTTTTGTTTAAGTTACTTGTTTTAAATCAGTGAACAATCAGATTTTATTTTTACTCATGTACACATGTAGAGTATGTTCTTTCAAAATATTTGTCTTTTCCAGGTATGAAATAGGTTATTTGAAATTTGGTCTTACTGGCTAACCAATTTTCTTGCACTCTTTGAATGCCTTACTCTTCCATGGTCATTATATGTAATATATCCCTATATAGCGTGTATACTTACCAGGGGGTGTGGTGGGGGGGGGAGAGAGATTTAGCAGTGATCTGGCAAAGAGCTAGATGAATGAAAAACTGTCAGTACCTGTACAAGAAACATTCCTTCATTCCTTTTGCTCACCCAGACACCTTAGAAACTAGATTTTATGCTATGAGGTACCTAGTACATGTCTACAAAAATGTACAAAGTTACAGTAATTGTAGCATGCTACCTGGCCATAGTAATGTTACCATTTCAATAGTATTTTACCACCGTGCATGTGCAATTTAATAATCTGTTCTGATCCAGAGCATTGGAAGTAGAAATATATGGACTGGTTTTCTGTGAACACCGTTTTTCATGCTTTGTTTTGCAGTTGCTGCTAATTTACAGAAGATAGTAGAGGATCCCAGGGCCTTGAAAACATTGACCTTTAAGTTGGTAAGTAAAATATTCTTAGTGACAAAATAGCACACAAATAAATTACACATTGTAAGCTTTTTTTAACTCTAGGTACTTTGTTCTTGACTCTGCTGTATCTACATTAACTTTTTAAGAATTTAAAGGAGTATACCATGTAAAAGAGTTAACTGTTCACTGTCTCTAGTTAAGCAGAAAAAGCAATGGAGGAAAACACTGCTTTGAATGGTTGAGCTTGTGGTGCTTGTGATCCCTCATATACACACAACAACCATTCTGGGTTGCTGGTGATACCAGTTGGCTGAGGAGACTTGAACTGGGGTCATTTTACTTCTTGTCTTGTTCAGCTACTGTGTTCTACAATTTTGAAACTTCTGTTCTATACTTGGGGAAAATTGCTGAAGTCTATCCCTCAGTGCAGTGTTTTGGAAATTATCCAGAAGTGTCCATTTGAGAGATGATATAAGTCTCAGAATACATTGATATATAACCACGGTTGAAAGGACAAACCCACACAGGGACATAGGTTTGTCAGTGTGGTCCTACATCAGAAAAATAAGGATTCTGTGCAGGTACACAACAGTGTGGCAGGGTAAAATGAGAACCAGTCTGTCCTCTTGGCAGTATTTTCACTGAAGGGCTGGGTCCTTAAGTCAAAAACAGCCATTTTCTGTTCTCCTGCAGTATGTCTGAACATTTTCTAAATTAATCTTTTCTGTGGAGAGGGGTTCTTCAAGTCATTGGAGAGGGAGTGAGCAAACACTAAAAGGCAATTGTATCAAGGTTCACTGTGATTTGGGGCTCTCGCGGAACAGCTCACGTGAAAGCCTAAAAACCAAGTAACCCTTTAACTCCAGATATCAAATTACCGTAACAGGGCCTGATGTACAGTACACGTTTTAATGACATACTTATTCTAGTGAATAACGAATATGGTTTTTTGTCATGGCAGGTTTTTTTATTGCACGTTACTATTTTGATGGATAAATTGTTTGGCGGGTAAGTGGGCATTTGAGAGAGGAAAAGCCTATAGATGCCTAAAGTTCTTTTGGAATAATAAAACGTAGAAAATTGGGCCTAGCCAAAGTGTTGTAAACCCAAAACTCACACACTGAAGAAACTAAAACTCTCTGGTAGTGTCTCCCATCTCCCCTGCCACATCGCCTTGGGTGCTGGGAACCAGCAGAGAGGAACCAGCCAGAGATTCCAGACAGGTCCAAGGCAAGGACCTTCTGATGTTCAGAAGTATTCTACAGCTTTTGACTGAACTTTCTCTGCCCTGCGCTGATGGACTATTTGTAGGGACATACCTAAATTACAGTGAAACAAAGGGATTTTTGCGAGCTGCTCACAGCCCGCAGAGCCAATTTCGTGATCTTTTTTCAGTGAGACACCCCTACCAAAAAATTTAGTAACACTAACTAATGCTAACCTTGATAGAAACAATTCATGTTAGTTGTTAGATGCTAGCATGCAGCATCCATCAGCAGTTGCATTTGACATCCTTTGTCTCTGTGGTGTGAACACATGTCCATACACTGAGATCGCACCTTCTGTATCCACTGAATTTGTTGGCAGTGTTTGAGATGTGGAAGGTGGTATAGATTTGGAAAATGAAAAACAATCAGAAACAGATTCCCAAAACGGTCACAGTCAAAGGCATCCAGCACTCTTTGATAAAGTCCATGTAAGCAGCATGTTCCTTGTTGTGCACTTTCTGCCATTCAGGGATTGATTTCAGTAGCTGAGGGTCAAAACTCAAAAAAGGCACCTGATTGGGGCCAAAAATGTGAACAGCGCTAAAAAAGGAGGAAGCTGGTTGTTTAAACCATGGTGGTAGTGACCGATCGTACTTGTAATACTGATTCAACTTCACAGCTATTGCCTGGAACAGTTCTTGTCTCTGCTGGTTTTCACATTGACAGCTTGTGTGATGCCATGTCTATGACCCAGCTTATTAAATCCATCAGTTTGTTGTGTGCTTGGTGGATCAAAGCCTGCCAACTTTCAAATCACATTAGAAGCTCCATGAACCGGGTGGCATTTTCAGCAAACTTTACTTGGTCTTCAGTGTTGTCCTGTCTTAAGAGATTGCACAGTTTAAGCATGCACTGTGTTCCAGGTGTGATTTCAAGCTTCTCGCACACAAGTTGCTGGTAGTATTTCATATTCTTTGCGTGGTAACTAACTGCATTAAACCATGAATTCCACCTTGTAAGTACTGGCTCTGATGAAAGTGACACAGTTGCATGTAGATCCCTGGTTTGATTGGTGATGGACTCCCTATATCAAAGCTTATGGCCTGGACCAATGTTTGACTGCTTTTTAAAAAGAGGAAAACAGACTAGTCACATCAGGAAAACATATGCACCAGATGTCACTTACCAAAGAAAGAATATGTGCATTACAAGTGACATGAATTGTCTCATGAATTCCATGGAACACCGTAGAGAATTTTTTGCATATATACATTGCATTATCAGACAGAAATGCTGAGATCTGGTTAAATTCTAAACCATAGTTTACAACAGCCTTCACTACAGCTTGTGCCATGGTAGAAAAATTGACAGACGCGAGGCGAAACTGCTGTGTTTGACAAACAGGCAGGTCGCAGTCTGTCCAGCTTCCCAAGTACAAATAAAATGTGCAGAACATGGTTATCTTGGACATCTGTTGTTTCATATGCTACAATCGAGACTGATTCATATTCTGCCAATGCAGATTTTGTAGACTGAACATGCGAAGCAATTACTCCTGGTAGATAATCTTGGTGAAGCTTGTTTGCACATGGGAAACTGCCAGGATTTGGTGTGTGGCTGTTCAACTACTCCCTTAATTTAGGATTATCAATTTTCTCCAGAGGAATGTTGGCAGCTGTGATTGCCTCCACTAGCATGAATGCAGCCTCTCTTCTTGTCAGACTGCTTTCAGTGGTTCTTTTAAAGATTGAGGACATGGTTGCTTGTTTCTAGCTCTGACCTTCAGCTTCTGCAGCAGCCTTTCACTTTATATGTGATTTGAACTCTAAATGCCAGTCAATGCTGTTTTCCTCACCACATCCAGAGTCATGTTGCACAATGAACAAAACAATTTCCCACCATCTGCATGTAGGGTTCCTACAGGGAATTTGCCTTATGCAATCCTGAGCTGAAATGTATTTAGCTTTCTTGGATTTCTTTTCACTTATCATCTTTAGACTGCAGCATTGCTGCAGCGTTGCATCTGGCTTGGTGCTGAAACCCTTTTACTTTCCTGATGGGTGCCTTTACTGAGTCAATCTCAGTAGCTCAGCCTCTCAGTAGCTCTCAAACTATGTGCTCTATGGGTGCAGGAATTACTGTGCTTTCTTTGAGTTCCAGTGAGCTTTTATTTTGGGGGGACACAAAATCACAGCAAACGGCATTTTTTGCAGTGATCACAGAATACTGTTTGCTCTCCTCTTCCATCCCCCCCCTCCCCAGTCTTCATCTCAGCTTTACTCTCTCTCTCTGCCTACCCCTCTTATCCATTTTTCTTTTTGTTTTTTCAACTTGGTTTATTTCCTCCCTTATCCTGCCACCAATCATGGAACTAATCCACTGCTTGGTGCTGTCGCATTCACTTTCTTCCAAGGTCTTTTCCATCCCACACCCAGGCTCTGTCTTGTACATTTAAATTGCAGGTTGTTTACAGTTTGGACTCCTTGCTACTCTAAGCAATAACAGGCTGCACTCTTGTTGATCCTTAGGTGGTGGTACAGTGGTAAATGTTGTTATTAATATGGATTTTAACTTTATCTTGAAAAGACTAAGCTCAGGTTTGCAGGTGTTGATGTGCTATATTTGTTTTTCTTTACTACCAAAATTAAGTAGAAACATTCGCATACCCAAAGCTGTTGAATGATTAGCATGTAAATACTAGGCTGCTGCCAATTAACTTTCTAGTTTTAGCATCCTTAGTTGAGTATAATTCAGCTGCTTTATATAAGGTTAGAGTAAGTGTCTGCTAGATACGAGGACCTCCAAAAGAGTTTTGTTATCAAAGAGGCTGCCTTCTGTCGGGATACAGAGAAAATTTGTAGAAAAAGGAAGGATCCAATTGGTTGCCTGATCTACCTACCTGTTTAGGATTTATAATTACTTTGTATAGTTTTAACAGAGTCAATGAACCTTTCCTTTTCATTTGTGAAAATGTTCATAGAACTGTTAGCCTAATTTCGGGGGGGGCAGGAAATACCCTTACAAATGTCCCTTTTCTCCATTAAACAGGACTACTCCAACACCCTAAATCAGTCTTTTTTTCTCTGGCATTTACCCCTTACATACAAAATCTTTTTTACTCTTAATTGTTGTTTGGTGAGATTGGGCATGCTTACACCCCACCTAGCAGCGAAGCATGATGCATCCACTCCATGCATGCTACCTCCTTACAGGAAAACTGTCTCTTAGTGCAGCACTAGTCATACATCACTAAAGCCTCCTGAGAGCATCCTTATTGCATGTACTCAGCACAATATTACCTGCTGCCTCCTGAATCAGAAGTACAGCATGCCTCATTGTGGAGCTCTCTGGCACTGCATTAAGCTAGCATAGACATGCCTATAGCATTGTTAATGTCACTATTTGTTGAAAACCAAACCACCTGATAAAGTTTTCTTGCTTTTTGCTGAGATCCCTCTTTTGTATCTGTTACTAAAATACACACAATAAGGGCTGTGCAAAGTTTCGGTCCCTGATTTGATTTGGCCCAATTTGGTGGCCGAATCTTCAAATTCGAATTGACTCAGGTGACCCTTTAATCTCTCCAAATCGATTCGGACAGATTTGGTGATTCGGATGTAGATACAGCTTTAAATGATTTTTCTACATACCTCTAGATAACAGAGGTTCTGAATGCTGCAGTGCTGGAGCAGATGCAGCATCCCACAGAAGCACAGGGGGCTCCCCAGTGCAGTCGGGAGCAGACCTGGAATTGGGCCAGAAGCACTTCTGGGTCCACCGGGGCCCGCTGGCTCGGCAACTGGTGTCTCCTGGGTCGGGGGGGGGGGGGGGCACCCGGGGTCCCCCTGTGGCCAATCACCAGGCTGGGGGGGCATAGGGGGTACTTCCAGTCCACTTCTGGGTTTGCCGCCGTGCACTCTGGAGAGCCCCCCCATGCTGCTGTGGGACGCTTCATATGGCCCAGCACCACAGCGATCACAAGCCACGCTGCTACTTCAAGGTATGTAGAAACAACTGTTAAAGCTGTGCCTGTGTCCGAATTGCTGATTCTCTGAATCAGGATCGAATCATCAGATTTGGAATTGAATCAGGGACAGTGATCCAAATCAACAAATCGAATCACTGTTCCTGATTCGGACCGAATCCGAATCGAATAGGGCCCATTTTGCACACCCCTACGTACATTACAGCCTACCTGGTATGTGAAACGAGGCCTTTCTGTGTAAAATTCAGAATTTTATGCCTTTTCTGATAGTTAAGACATCATAGCATATTTCAGTCTAATTCCTAGTTGCTGTCAACCAAAGAGGTTATTTACACCACGGTTATATGGTAATAACCATTTAACTACATAACAGTGTGAATAGCCACTGGGTTTCAATTTTATATCCATCGTTAATCATCCTGACAAACTGTATATCATCAGCCTTATCCTTTTCAAAGAGGCAGTTTCATTTTGTGTTGTCACCAGTGGGCACTGGAATGGACTTTATTTTGAATAGTTTTTCCACAGATTCATTTCATTTGGTAATATTTTTTAGGGTTGAATCTAATTTGTGCTGATATTTCTCACTTCTCCAGGTGTCTCTTGTATTTCTCTAGCTTGTAATTTTTTTATTTTTTTTTTAATTCTCCCAACGTATAGGTATCATCCCTGGATTTATTTAATAGGTGGCTTTTCTATTCTGTTTGTTCCTGGATCATGTAACAGAGGCACTAAAAGTATTGCCTAACTCAGAACTCTTGTCATTCCACTACACACACTCATATATTTTCATTACTTTTTACTAAGTTTTCACCCAGTTTGACAGCACTTCTAAGTCGATTAAAATTCATTTTTCTCAATAATGGTGTTTGAAAAATTGAAGTCTAAAATGTAACATATTTCCAATGTATGCTGGCTTTGTAGTTGTTTGAAAAATGTTCATTAGTCTGGCATTATTTATTGCTATTTAGGAAATATGTATCTAACTTTTTTGATCATTGTTTCTGTATTAGATTTGCTATTCAATGAACAAATGTTTTCACCTTGAAGGAAACTTTAAAATACACAGTAAGAATTAATGTCCTATCAACGTCTATTTAAAAAAAATAAATAACACTAACCTGTTATGGTTGATAATGATTTATGTTATAAAATATCAGCAAATTGTAATTATGGCTCTGTACAGTAATGCCACAAATTGTATGTTGTTTTTAGTCCTTGTTGCAAAATGCTTTTGCAGTTGAGCTGTGACTTTCCTGAAGTATCTATTTATGAAGAACTGGGGTAGGAATAGTTCTTTTTAAAATACAGATATTTATGAGAATAGCTAGAGAAATACAAAAATACTGTGCAATATAATTTGCAGTTTACAAAATTCTTTTTAAAGTTTGCCCTATAATAAAACATTGTTAATGGAAAGCATGTTTGCTTGTTTCTTGAACAATTTTCAACTGATTGGGGTTTTTTGGTCCATATTAGTGTTTATACTAAGCTTGAAAATAGAAATTTAATGGATTGTGTGTCTATCTTTTTAAAGCATTGCTTCTAAAATCAAAAGGGCAAAAAATAATTACCGCCAGCCTAATAATACATTTGGGTTATTTAGAAGTAGACTATTACTATTCCTGAAGAGGTATTTCTGGTTTGGTGGTGAATATTTCTACAATATTGCCAGCACTTCTATCTACATATTTTGGGGCTCCTTTCTCAGGTTACAGACTAACCTGTAATAAATGCATAAACAGATTAAGGGATCTATTTTGTAGCCGTATCGGTCTAAGACAAAGAGAAATACAAAACTCTAAAACTCTTGGTTCAGAGGTGATACCTTTTATTAGACCAACTAAAAATAGCAAAAAAAAATTCTTTCTTTGCAAGCTTTCGGGCACCCGCATCAAAGAGCAACTCACACAAAGGGACTCTAACAGACCCAGGGGAATATATGTCCAGCCTCAGCTTCTCCTGTGCAAAATGAAGTATATTTCTACCTAAGAGGACTTTTACAATCTTTGATTTCTCCTCAGCCTGAAGAAAAGGTGTGCGCACCCAAAAGCCTATATAGAAAGAATTTTTTTGGCTATTTTGTAGTTGGTCTAATAAAAAGTATGATCTAAGAACCAAGAATTTTAGAGTTTTTTGTATTTCTAAAGGGATTAAAAACATTTTCATCATAGGAACCAATTGTTGGCACAGTTTTTGTGTGGTATGCTTAAGAGAGTCAGAAACTACCTTGTAGGTAGCTTACCATTATCAAACTTCTTTATTTCTTAGGCTCTGTACAAGAGTTCAGTTACAGCACAAGGAAAACATGGCAAGAAGTGGAACATAAGGCAGTCCAGCCCCTCACTGCCTCAAGGGAAAGCTCTCCAGACAAGGGCTGGTAGGGGGCTCCCAAGGAGAGCCCAATAATTGGGCTGGGAATTATTCTTCTGCTGGGAAAGGGGCAGGCTGTTAATGACCACAGCTACCAAGGACAGCCCCCTGTCCTGCCGGGTTGCCAGGACCAAGGAGAACTGCTCTCCTCACCATTGCCACCTCTGATGGTGCTGCTGCCAGAGTCCCAGTGGGAATTCTGTCACCCCAACCTTACCCCCCCACAAGCCAGACCTGCCTGTTCCGGTGATTGGCAGAGCAGACAGGTGGGTCAGGGTGTTTGGGCTGGTGTGAGGGGATTGCTGCTGCTTCTCGAACTGTTCCAGAGGGAGCAGGGATGGTTCAAGCGTGGTAGCAGCAAGGCCCCCAAAGGCCCCTCCAACTGTTCACCACTGGGTGGGCTATCAGGGAGCTAGTGCTTTCCCACCCCCTTGGAGTCAGGGTGGGGAAGGAGGAGAGTGAAAGGTTGTGGACTACCAGGAGTCCTAGGGACCTCCATGGTGCTGTGTGAAACTGAACACACGTTACACATGGTGCTAGAAGCTTTGCTTTCCAGCAAAATTGCTCTTTGAAAGAGCCAGTAGTTTGTGGCAGAATCAGTATGGTTGTTTTTTTTCTGTTACAAGCCATTTGAATGCCCGCACGCTTACTTTTTGTGCCAGGAAAAGGGAGTATTTTTCAACACAAATGTAAGCCCTGTCCACGGCCTGGTACTCTGTTTTATGCACCAAAGAGGCATAGAATTTCAAACTAGTTGGGAACACCAGCAAGAATGTAGTAATCTCTGAGCTATAGTAATACATTTTGCATTTAGAAAACGCAGTGTTACAATACCATACAGTGGCTGCATTTATTAAAGCAATGCTAAAGCAAGACTCTGTTCCTAAGTAATGAGAACTTTTATACCTGTACCATTATTTGTGCAAAATGCATTCTTGCTTTGTGCCAGTTTTGTACTGCAAAACACTCCATTAAAAATCTCAAAAATGCCATGTGAACTACTAGACTGTAAACTGCAGTCCCTTGGGTCTTTTTAAAACAAATAACCAAAAAAATGTCTACCTTTTCCTCATTCCTACCTTTAATTCAGGGCCAGAATTCTAAAACAGTCTTAAAATCTGGAGTTGGAATCCTTGGCAACACATTTGTGTGTGTGCAGCACAATGTTTAAAACCACTACTGGGAATAAATCTCTCAGATTTCCTCACCCAAAAGCTGGGTGCACATTGAATGCAGGTTTGGACAAGGCTAGAAGATTTGGACAATATCTTTTTGCTTTTGTCTTTGTAAAAGTGACAGTTTTGGATGACAGAAAACTGACTTTTATAGAAGCATAGGCACCAGTGCTTGTCCTTCACTTTCTGTTTGTAATTAGCAATATTGTATGAAAGATGATGTATGATGGTAAAATGAATTATGCTCTTTATTAACATTGATAGAGGATTGTCCTGGAAGTCTAGACACTTCATTCTTAAGCTGAAGGAAACCCCTTTGTTACTAACTAGGTAGTGCAGGAAATACATAGTTTGGCTGTCAAATATTTCTTAACATCTCATAGTGAACATTTCTATTTTTTTTCTTGCAGGCCTCTGGCTGTGATGGCACTGAGATCCCTGATGAAGTGAAACTGATTGGGTTTGCTCAATTAAGTGTCAGCTGATGTCTATCACTTGACCCCCAAGCAGAATTGTGAGATTGTGAAGAGGCTGGCTTAGATGCGAAGGAAAATTTAAAGCACCACACACTGAGTTCTGCTTCATTCTCTAGCAATTCACAAAAACAAAACAAGCAAAAGCCCACAGCTACATCGCTGCTGCTAACATTCAGAATGCTACTAAATGTCTCTTAGCAGTCAATTTGGATTTCCCTTAAATGAAAAGCATATGGTAATGCACTCAGGTGGCTGTATTTATTGGTTATAAAAGGAATTTTCTATTAAACTTATTTCTTTTCATAAAATTTCAGTGATACTATTTTAATTGTACTTGTGATTGACAATACTGCCTCTCTTCTGTTGTATTTAGAAATTAACATAATGATAAAAGTTAAGATTTATTAGCCAAACTTGAAATCTAGTTTTAAAACTGACTGTGAATTTTATTTTCATATATTTATGCATTACACATCCTAGTTATAAGAAAATGATTGATTTGATTACATGCTATTTGCAGTTAATCTCCCGTTATTTAAAAAAACCAAAAAAGGTAAGGTATATCTTTGAAGTACTTGTAACTACTAGTTTTGGAAATGACTTAATTAGGGATTAGGAAGCCTTTTTTGGTTTTTGTGTGTCTTAAAAAAAAACCAAACAATCCACAGTTTGATTGTCAAGGGTATGGGAGGTGCCTTGCAGATACTAATGTTTCAAGAATGTGCCTCAGGCTGCTTAAAACTAGAATAATCTCAGTTCTAGAAGAACCATATATAGTTATCTGAGCAAAAGACTTTAGATAAGTTTGGCCTAAATTATGCTTTGTTGGGGAGTCTACAAGCTATAACTATTATACTATTTGTCATAAAGCTAGACTGCTTACTGTGCCCATCTCTGATTTGGCTTATCTTTATGTGATAGAAGTTGTAAAAAGGTGATGAAACTTGAAGAACAGAGTTTGAGCTTTACTTGAAAATCTGCAAAATACCAAGGCAGAGCGAAAAAAATAACAGGGCTTTGTGCAATGACTAAAGTAAAATTCTGTTACACAACAAAGAAAACATTTCTGACCCAAGTAGTCTTATGCTTGACCTGTGACTTAGATATTATGGAGCTAGTAAACTTTAGAAAGAGTCTCAAATTTGGAGCATATTTCCTGGGACACACATTCCTTGGATATTACAATTTAAATTACTTCCTAGCTAAACCTAGATAAATGGCAGCTCTTTAACATACTGAAAATGGCAAATATATATTATTAAGGAAAAAGTTATTTATAATGCCTTGTTATAATTGTTGAGGTGTTCTAGAGCCATTTGCAAACAACTCAATGTAATTTCATTCCATTCTATTGTTTACACAATGATTATTCAAAGATGACTGCAAAGGTAAAATGAAAAATAAAAAGTGTATTGCACAGACTTTGGGTTGTGAGTCTTCTTGCTTTCTGTATTGCATGCATTATGGTTAAACATGCCATTTGCCAGATTGTAAAGTTAGTTCCAATTACCAATATTTTTTTCTTTAGTTTTCTTATAGAAAATGCCTCCTGGAAAGGAAAATCAGGTTCATGAAGTTTAGAAAAAGAAATGTTGAGGGGACTACTTAATGGCTGACTTCTCTGTCCATCTACCCACATGGAGGATTGTTACTTACCATTAATATTTCCAGTTCCGTCTAATCTAGTGTAAAAATCTCCATTCTTGCTTTCTGATTATTCTTCAACAGACTCCTCCCTCCTCTTCCCAACCCCAATATACAAACTCCAATTTCCTTTACTTAACTTTATTACTTTGGGTAATGCTCTCATTTATTAAAATAAATTCCCACTTTTTTATTTTAACATCTTCCAAATATTGTGGACTGTTCCTTCTCTAACTCACCTCACTGCCTTAGCCTCTGCTTGAGTCATGGTATAGGTACTGAAACACAGTAGTATTGGGTTATTGGATATATAATGGTCAGTAGATGTGTTGCAGTTTGAGGCAATAACTGAAGCTGGCAGTGTTGAGAGCAGAACTAGGATCTATGGAACTACATCTTCTATTATCTGGGGAGAAAATAAGAATACTTCATGTCCCACCTGAGTGAATAGGTACAATCTGAGGAATTTAATTATGCATTATCAATTGCTCTTTTGAAATATGTATAGTTTCCCTTTTTGTTTATTCATATGACTCCTAATTAGAAAAAAACAAACAAACCACTTGATAAGCCTGTGGTCAGGTGGTTGATCACTGAGCAAGACCAAAACTTTTAGTACATGAGCTGTAATGGCATTTAATCATTCTTGGCATGCACAGCTTATATTTTCAAAGAGCTGTACAAACATTAACTAACTCTCCTGTGTAGTGCCTGGCTACTTCCATTTTTAGAGAAGGACATTAACTTGCAGGAAGCCTTGGTGTTTGCTCAAGACCACACAAGAAGTCATGATGAATATATGGGAAGTCAATGGCCCATTTACTAGACCATGTTGCACTAGTAAACGAAACTTAGTGCAAGTCATGCATAAAGAGATCAACAAGGCTGTGATTAAGTGTTAGGGCATATAAGCAGTAACTGAGCAAAAGGTTAGGGACAGACATTAGACATAAACCAGTTTAAGTGATCAGAAACTGGTTTAATCCTGTAACAACACATGTTCAGTGCACATAAACCAGCTTGAAAATGGCTGAAAGTGGTTTGAGATAAACCTGGTTGAATGTAGTATCAGACTTAACTGATTTGGGTAAACCAGTTTATGCAATTTCTGTCCCAGACCCCTTGCTGGTTTAAGTTACACCAGTCTGTTGCCCCCTCCCCTCTGCTCTGTGGGTGGAGCTCTGGCAGAGACTGCGTGTGTCTGCCTGGCTTCCACCTGCTCCCCCCATCCCCTCCTCACTCCCTGCTAAGCAGGGATTGTCTGCTCCCCTCTGCCTTACACAGACACCTGCCAGCATTAGCTAGCAGACCACATGCTGTCTACAGTCTGTGCTATAGCAGAGGGGACAAAGGCAGAATCAACAGGTAGCTGGTAATGTCACTCTGTTGTTTTCTTAATGGGGTGATGAACACTGTTATCAATTCCTTGCTGGGATGATCAGAAGGGGGGGAACCCCTCCCTAATTGGAGCATCCTGCCAGGGCCTGGCCAAGCCTCCCTCAGCTTAGCTACAAGGGAAGGGAGGGCTGCTCTAGTGCCCCAGGCTTCTAGCCTGAGTCCCAGTGCAGGCATTTGCCTGCATGTCTGGGATATCTATACAGATACAAACTGATTTAGCCTAGCCAGGTTAGACTAACCTGCAAAGATTTAATCAATTCAGGCTCAGGTTTTTTGAATGTCTGTCCCTAGCCAAAATATTCAGATGTCTGTAACTGGGATCACCTGTGTACTCAGGCAAAAATAAAACAAGCATATTCATGAATATCCTACAAGGGTGTGACTACACTAACTAAGGTTTCTGCCCCTTAATGATCTATAGAAGCATGGAAATACTTTAATGATCTTCCTGAGTACTAAGTGGCAGCTGATCACAATACGTTATCACCATTGCATTAGCATGGGTTTTTTTGGTTGCTTGGTTTATGTTTTGTTTGTATCAAAGCACTGTAAATAAAAACAGATCCTACATGACCAAATGAATTCAGAAGGAAAGTGACTGGGGAGAAATAATATAACAGCTTAAGCTTCATACTGAGTCAACATGGATCTCATGAGGGTGGATTCTACCTTAAAATCCTCCATAATATAGACAAAGATCTAGTATTCAGAATTGGAAAATAGCTAGATTCTAGCTTGCTATGGAAAGCAATGTGCACACCCTGTGTAGGGACATGAACAGAAACGAAGCTAATATAAACATGATGGCATTCCAGAAGAAAGTTCCTGTAAATACCATATTCAAATACTTCAATAGAACATGGAGAGGAAAATACAGTGAATGTGGTTTGTGCAATTTCACAGGAGAAAGGACAAAAAATGAATGTACCTTATACTTGGATAATATGAATTTTCCCAAAGCAGTTCTGATGAGATTCATTATACAGGAGTTGATGAAACAATGGCCTAGTGCCTAGTAATAGAGAGAGCACCTGGTTGCATTCAAAAGAAGAAGTGTCTAATTAACTAGATGAATTTGGAGCGGGTGACTTGCTGTGTAGCCATTTCTGAGCCCAGGGAAATGGGCCTTAATTAGACAGTTCCCTAGCATTTCTGTAGCAATGATTATATGCCACCACTTACAAGTTCGCACTTTCAGGATCTGTTTGTTAATGGACTTAAATGTCCATGGAACTAAACCTTTCAATGCTTTCTACACACTTGTGCAAGTGTACATGGTGGACTGGTATGAAAGCCAATAGATGGAAAAGAAGTTCTGTATCTGCTCATTCTTGTTTGTAGTGCTAAAAGGGGGAAATATTAACACACAATCCTGCTCAGCACAAAACTGAACTACTACCAGATTCTGGAGAGAAGTTGGTAGCTAAACATAAACTAATAAAATGTAGACAAATGTGTTTGGGGGGGAAGGGGGAAATCAAATTACCCGAGACATATATTTCAAAATGCTTATCCTTAGGGTCCTTACCTGAGTTATAAGCTAAGTAAATTGAGATTCTACCTTTTTCCTCTTCCAGTTCCTTTTGACCTATGTGCTCTCAGTGCATGGGTATGTATGAAGATGTATGCTTTTCTTTTCCTTCTTGGCCTTCTGAGGCTTTCCCCACCCTCTTCCTAGTAGTTCTGGGTCCCATGACAACTTTCCTCTCACCCCAGCTCCTCCTCCCCTAGTCTCTGAAACTAATACTATCATGCAACCTCTGCTGCCTCCTCTTGGGATACAGCTGGTATTGGAAGACTAGAGAGGGCATTAAGAATGTGTAGAAGAGAAAGGAGCAAGTCTTGGACACATCCACTAGAGAGTCCTAAAACCCTTTGGGAAACTGATTAGACCTGCTGATATTTTACCTCCTAAAAATGATGACACAAAAGTTATTTTCAAAACAATCCCCTGCCTCATTCTGCTTTCCTGCTTTAGTTCCCCTAGAATTGGAGATCATAGAAACCTAGAAGGGACATCTGTCTAAGCTGTTTTTTAAAAAATTCCAGTGACAGGGATTTTACAACTTCTGTAAAAGACTTGGTGAAAGTGCTCCACTGCAAAATGCCTTTAAACAAAGCTATATTCCTAAAAATGGTTACTTTGTGTGATTTGCAAATAGCAGATATCTCTGCCTGATTTCTGGCTTATTCAGATTTGTTTTCCTTTCTGCTATCCAGTCCTGCATCTTGATGTTGGGTAGTGAAAATGGTTTGTGTCTGAAATCATTTGGTTATGAGGAGGAGTCCGAGTGCCCTGCCATGTGACATAATCAACCTGAATAGAAACTGGCTGTAAAGTTGTTACACATTTTCAAGCACTAATTTTATGGCTGGTTGGCTCTTTTTATGGTTGGATGGACATTTTTATAGTATGATAATTACTTTGTACATGTGGCTGGTCTAAATATATTGTGTGATTTACCAGTAAATTGTGTAATATATGTAACGTTGCAGAAGCCCTCTGGATCAAGGAATGGGGATCGTGGGACATCACAAACAAGATCCTTGTGATAAACCCCACTCATCAACCTGCTGGCTTTGAACTATCATGGTGAGTGTGGTCCCTGCTAAACAAGTTTAGGACAGGCCACGGCCCCTGCGTAGCCAACATTCACTGCTGGGGCCTCAATGCTAACCCATCGTGCACTTGTGGAGAGATGCAAACAATGCTGCACATCACCTCCCCCCAATCAGTTCCAGTACAGCTTTGCATCAGGTGGTATTTGCCTTCGCATCAGGTGGCCAAGTCATCCACTTTCTTATAATGTGCCCATAATGTGCACATATATACTTAGTGCAGTAATTATTTTAAAGGGAGAAGTTGGATAATCAATTGGAACCCAAGTCTTCAAGTTCCCTATGTATATGCTCTACAAACAAGCTGATGGAGTAGCTGGGTTTTATCACACCAGCAAAGACTCCGACTAGCAAAATCTCTCCTGTGTTTTACTTGCAGTTTATTACATGATAGTCCAACTGATTAAAAATCCAGACTTAATAGCTGTATAGTAATTCATTTTGTCACTATGAATAAACCCAACATTATTGTGTACATAAAAATGTGGTTTTATGGATGTTTTATGTTTGTTAGATTGCTGCTTGTCAAGCTGTTTGAAAAGTCAAAGAAATCCTGAGGTGTGAATCAAATTCAGTAGTTGAGAAGTAAAGAACTTCCTAATAATTTTCAGAGTATGGGTAGCTCTAGATCATGCAGCTGAGATATTATAGAGCTAATTCAAAAGAAATTATGGTTGTAAGCAAAAATATTTACTTTTCACTGCACAGACTGAAAGGGAGGCAATAATGTCCTTCTCAGGAAGTCATGTGTATAT